AGATAGATAGATAGATAGATAGATAGAGAGATAGATAGATAGATGGGTAGATAGATAGATAGATAGATAGATAGATAGATAGATAGATTAGATAGATAGATAGATAGATAGATTGATAGATAGATAGATAGATAGATAGATAAAAGGCGGCTCCACCAGTGTGTTCATCAGCGCTGCGTTCAGAAAGGAACACTTAATGGTAATACGCTGAACACATTCTGCGGAGTTATCGAGCTACATCCAGAAAGACCCACAATGTAACACATGAGTTAGCTGTACCAGAGTGTTCTGTCTTGACACGACTAACGAACAAATTGACAAACAACATCTCAGCAGTGTCTTGTTGATTGATCGAATCCAGGAATAATTGTGTGAAGGTTTGAAGAACGCAGGTTCGCACAGAAACATTTTACTTTCCATATTATACAACTGCCTTCCCAACAGTTTTGTTCCTTTACAACCTTTTGTGAAGAAGTTCGCTCAAAAAGGCAAGTCAAGTGCTAAGAGAAATAACTCTTCAGTGTGAACGACTGAATGTAGCCGTAAACAAAACCGCAGTACTCAAACAGGTAAATGGGATACATTTTTGGTATGTGCCCTATTACAAATTTCGTATTAACCCCGGAAATGAGTATTAATGCTGTGGAAAAATTCAAAGTATGCACCAAGCAGAGTAAAGGTCTCAAAAAGACTGACTTTCAGACAAAAAATCCCAAAGCAAAGTGCATTTTTTCGCCATTAGTGCAATCCAGTTCAAGCCAAATTGTTTCTGACCTCAAAAAATACTTCTCATCTGACCATCTGTAAATCATCTTTGTTAGCCTGTGGTGGATTTCTACAAAATTTTTAATTACGACTGAAGATAGTGCATTTATCCATCCGCACTCTCAATGGGGAGTCCATGAGGTTTGGAAGAAACCGATTACTGAACGGCAGTGTGTTCTCCCACAGCATGGTTATCGTGTTTTTGGGTGCAGCAAGTAACAGAGGTATTTTTAAATCGATGGTTATTTAGGTGCATTGATCTTGTCTCGAGGATAAAATAACATTCCTTATAGTCTAACCAGTTAAATTTTACCGGATAAATGGGTCTGGTAATTTTTTTAGACTATGAACTTCGTGGGGACATTGTTCATTCCACTTGTTTGGTGTAGAGCACACGTTAGTTTAGAGTGTAATTACATCAGAAAGAGGATGCATCTGATTTCGCTTGGAAAGGGTGCTCATACGCCCATCTAACAAGATTCTCGATAGGTCTCGCATTGAATATGGTCCTCAACTTCAAAAAAGGCTTGTCCTTATCGGTGTTCGTCCTGCTAGGCCTCTTTGGAGTGTAATAAATGTGTTTTGAGAGAGACATTTGGAAGAGAGGAGGAGAAAGAAGGAGAGACATTTGGAAACGTTTTACACAGTTCTGCGGCCTACGGAACACTTCGCATAGTCCAGTAGATCGGACGAACGACCCTCTAATACCAGTCTTTGGGCTGAGGACTAAAACCTATCTCCTTCTTAGTTGACTTTAAAAGCCAAACTATAGTGCTTACGTGGTATTTCTTGTTGAATCCAACCGTGGATTACTGGTCCGCGGTGTAACTGTGATGCTCTAAACACCTTTTTCTCTTGTGAAGTTGGTGATATGCCATTAGATTTATAGTTTTTGGACAGTATGTTCCTACTGATTAATTTTAGATACCCCTTTTAGATGCTGCTATCGGTTAACAAGACTACGATTAGAAGACTTCTGAGGCATCGGATTCTCGACTCAAATTCTCTAGATATGGAGCACCTTCAGCAGTAACCATCTGCTGGGATGTATGTTTGTTATATTGGCTAAAAACAGGAGTATACGATTAATACCATATCTTAGGGTTTTATCTCTTAAGCTACGTCAGGCGCTATAACTCCTGTTGAATTCCACTACGAATAACGACCAATCTCTGTGTGCCATGCCCCAACTCAAACGATAACGCTTCAAACCAGTTTCCCAGGACTTACTTAAACACAAACACAGCAGAAGGTTGGCTCTTGGAGTAAAACCAAGCTTGGCCTGTTAATGGGGTGTAACAGAACACACTGGCTTAGGACACACATTCTACTCTGATAATCCGGCTTTTTAGAAGAACGGTGAAAACATGAAGTTTCTTGGACCAGGGTAAAAAAAGGAACCATACCTGACATTTGATTCCAGATATTTGAGTTGGCTGTTGGATTGTGCAACCAAGCCACATCATACCAGTTCTACTAAACACCACAGGAAATACGTTCACTCAGTATCCTGTGGCGTATGGTAACTACTGGAAAGTTCGCTGGACACTTTAAAGCTCTGAAAATTTTTCATAACAGTCTCGCCTTCCTTGTGAGGCCACCAATTTGGATAGGGTCTCTTTGAGTGCACTGAGAGCCGCTACTTCAATGGAGACCGCCTACAGCAGTAATTAGTCACAAAATTTTGAGTTTTTGACCATATTTTCCACTGCATTCCTTTGTTCAAGCGCGACCATCATCTCCCATAATCTATTGCTAACCAAACATTAGTTACAAACCTCCGCTCTAGTTGCCCATCCCATCCAATTTTGGCTGTTAATAACGGCGTGACCGCTGATGGTAAAAAATGTTTGCATATCAATTCGCAAGCTTGACGAACATTTCAACAACCAGAAATCAGATGGTTCAGGAAATTTCCTCGCAAAATATTGGAAAATGTCTGTGATCGATCTGCAGATTGTTCGCCAAAGTGCCGCAACATACCAGAACCTCTTTGTTCTTTATTCGGATGTCGTTCGTCCTTGCGGCGACACCGAGATATCTCTGCTGGTATGATAACGAAATACTTGCACAGGATATCGCTGAAGAAGTGTTACGATCTAACAAGTTTCCACCAGCAGTCGGCCCTGTTTCACTAAGGTTTTTAAAAAACCTCGTAGCCATCCCGTTAATCTTGATAGTATCCCTTTTAGTGATTCCACAATGAAGCGTTTGGAAACAACAAAAAATTTTTCTGAGTTGCCTGACATAAGCAAAATGGTAACATACATCAGGAAAATGTGCAAATATTGAAACTGATAAAAGTGGCCAATCTTGGCGAATTTAACGCATCCCTCAACCTCTAAAAAACCGAATAATCCAGACTGGTCAACATGATATATCAAAATGAAAGGGGAGCCGTATATAACGTTTTAGGCTGATGAACTAATTTTGTGTAATTTCCGAAGCATCAAAATGGCTATAAACAAGCAGACTAGTTGCCAATGAATATTGTACAGTGGTCGTTTACTGGGTGCGAATTAGATGACAAAACTTTCGTGGAAATAAACCCATAAAACCTTCCACAATTTAGTATGCTCATCTGATTTGTTG